AGGCCAGACACTTCCTTCCAGTGGGGGAGCCCTGGTTAGAGTCCCACTCTGTCTTCCATAAACGTCACTCACTTTGCTTTCTTTGAAGAGCGAGGTCTTGTGAAGAAATCTGGCTCACTGCAAAGCAGAAGTAGACGTGACTCTACAATTGGACTCCAGCAAAACTACATTGTAAAATTAGCTTGTCCAAAACCTTCTTTAACAAATCGGAAATAACAACTCCTCCATGTGCTTTCACAAAGCCCATGCTCTTTATTTACATCTCTATTAATTTCATAACTCATGTCTAGTCTCCTTGGAGACTGATGAGTGTCCAAAAGGCATCAAGTGAGGAGAGCTTCAGGATCTCAGAATTGGTCCTTGGGTTGGAACTGTGATCTGGAAGGATGGGGGACAAGAAAGTCAAGGAAACAAAAAAGAGAAAAAGCACTGAAAAGGCAGCATCTTAGACTCGCGGCAATGTCCTTGGTTCTGAATGTTATTTTTTCACGTTACAGACATGGTTGAAACCAGAAAATAACTGGCAAACGGCAACTAACTGCAACAGGACAATAAATAGCGAGTGCTACAAAGATCAATGCATTAAAAATCCATATTTACAGTGAGCATGCTTATCACTGGGATCTTAGGGGGTTCCTAATGGGAAAAAAGTGAGGACCAGAGCTTTTCACAATTTATACTTTTCATTTGCTTTTTGCACTCGGTTGGAAATTTTTTATTAGATTTGTCTGTTACTGATCTTCAGTATGAAAACACAAAGACCGTATTATTTGGCCAAATTAATATTAACCAAGCACCCAGGGCTTACCAGGCATTGTGACAGCCACAGGATTATAAACCTATAGAAGGTAATAAAAGTTCCTCAAAACAGAAGGGAAAAGAGATTTGCCAGTGCAGCAAGTAACTTGCAAGACAAAAAAATTATGTTTTGATAAAGATGTTTTTTTGCTACAGCTTTTACATCAGTAACCCAAGCTCTGTCCTTTCCAATCTTGTAATCACTGAGATCTCTATCCCTACTGTCACTGGAAAAATATCTGCTCCAGAGTTCAAAGTTTTTGCTCGTCTTCATGAAAACGGTAATCTAGAAAGGTAATCATTCCAAGTACTGGTTTTATGATTTGTTTTCAAGGGAGAAGGAAAAAAACAGAGAAATTCCGTAACAGCACTGCGTGTTCCCTATGGTGTAGGAAGAACTTATCTGTTTCATCTATATTTGGAGAACACATCCATTCAGATGCTGCAACACAATTATTAATGTGACCATAAAATTATCAGCAAAGCCAAACCCTCCAGCTTCGAAGCTCCAAGGACAATTAGATGGATTATCAAAGCAAAAAGCACAATGCATTACATAGTTTCAGCCCACTTTTTAAAACACCCTCATGCCTAATAAAATTTTAGCAAGAATACCTTGATTGACGTTAGCTGCTAAAGCAGCCCGTGACCAAGAGGGGCCACATGACATGAGGGCAACACTTTCAAATTTAACCCCAGATGCATGTCTCATTAACCTCCATGTCTATAAACTACCTCATGGACTCCAAACACGTGAATCCTTTAAACAAAACAAAGGTCCTACACAAAGTCTGAGAAACAGAGTGAAGGGATTTCTCCAAGAGAAGTTCATGGCAATGAGGTCCTAGAAATACTCAGACCTGGTAGAAATATGACCCACCACCAATGTTGCTTTTAAATTAGCTAATGAAAGAGTGACCACAGATACATCTCCATATGAAGTAGATGAAATGACTCATTTGCTTCTCACCAACAAACATCAGCCAAACCCTACTGTATCTCAGGGCTGAGTAAGGTCAGCTGGTCTGTAAATAAAAGAAGTGAGGGGAAGGAAATTGAAAGTGGTACTAGAGCTGGAGAGGGTTGAGAGTAAAAGTCAAGAGGAAGTGTTTTCCATTCATTCTTTCAACCATCTAAAAGGAAACGTCTACACTGGCTTCCCATTAAACAGGAACAATGTCCAGAGAGCTTCCTACTGTACAAGACCGCCACTCCATCCACTCACATTTACTGCGCCTTTTCGAGCCACACCGGCCTTTTTGTCTGTCCTGCAAATATGGCAACGCTATCCCCACTGCAGGGTATTTACAAGGACGGTCCTTCTTGCAGCACTTATCCAAAAGAGTCACTTGCTTTTTTATTATCATCCAGGTCTATTTCAAATGACGTGTCTTCAGTGTGCTAGCCAGAGGCACTCCTTTACACTTCCCTAACACACAGCAGTATCAAAAATGACCTGTCCATCCATCCATCCATCCATCCGTCCATCCATCCATCCATCCATCCATCCATCCATCCATCCATCCATCCATGTGTTTACATGAAGCTTGTCTGCCTCTCTCTCTCTACAGTAAGGTTTATGAGGGCAAGGACTCTATTTTGTTCAAAAATGTCTCCTCAGTAGCCAGAATAATGCCTGACCCCAACTAGGCAATAACTGTTTGATTACCGACTATAATAGGGGGGAAAAATGTGTGCTTTTTGCAAGGTGATAAGAATAGAGTCATTTCAGAAAGGGCTTTAAAAACAATTTCTAACTGAAGAACCCCAAGGTCCTGGACGAGGGTCCTCTCGTGCCTTTCAGGGGCCTGAAGCCTTTGTCTGTCATTGCTGGATTCACTGGCTGCCCCAAGCTGGTAATTACGTGTAGTACAGAACACCAGTCCCGAGGTCCAAGTAGGGCAGGGCGGAGCACCAGAAGCCTGGAGTCCGAGAATAATGAGATGCCAGACCTGAAGTGTTCCTGTGCCCTCTCCTCTGTATCACGAGAATGACATGATTCATCTGAGGACTCAAGGCTCCAGTGCAATTGAGACCCTTGGGAACCCCACAACACCGGGAGGACCTGAATCAGTGTGCCCAGAAGGAAGGAGTGTTGATGTCAATAGCCTTGATGGAGATTTGTCCCAAGGTCTAGGGTAGGAAGGTTCTCAGTGTCCCCAGGTAAGGGTGACGAAATGCCCTCTCCCTAATTTTCCCATTTGCTCTTAAAAGCCTAAGCTTTGGAGTGTGACTAGCACACAGACGAATACATATCCATTCCCCACCCCCCACCCGACTGGTGGTGAGTACTAGCTCGTGCAATACGATAGTGGCACGATCCCTCCTGTGCAACCCAACCCAAGAGTGTGACAACACATTCCGCGTAGGATATGTCATCGCTAGGACATGGGCTCGAGTGTTGTACAAACTGACCTTGGTCTGAAATAAGCTTAGGACCAAGCTGGATGGAGAAAGGCATTTGGGGAGGTTGAGAGTGAGTGCATGCTCCGGGCTTGTCCTGAAGAGGGCGAGGCTGGGGAAGAAACGTCTGCATCTGGTTAAGAAAAACGGAAGGGTGTGACACACAGGCTCTTCCCTGCTCCTCTCCTGACAAAGCCGAGGGGAGAGGCAGAGGCCAAACGTGGGTCCCAAAGGTGCCCCATCTGAGAAGTGATGGTGGGCCAAGGTCAACACAAATGCAACCACACTCGTATGATTCCAATTCTAGCTGAACTAGAATGGGTCACAGGCAATGACAGGTAAAACTTTGGGGCAGAATGTGGTCACTTGATTAATAAATAAAATACACAAAACTCAAAGGTCAAGTCCCAGTTTACAAAAGCTCAGAGACAACATGGCATTGAGTGGAAAATCCTTTGTCAAATGTTTATGTAACACAAAATATAATGAGGAAAACAAAAGTTGTTTTCAATTCAAAACCCATGATGCATACAAGAGAAGTCTGCATAGTGAGAGTGACAAAATACTGATGATCCGTGTTGACAGAAAACCCTTTTGTTCACACTGTTAATATGTTGAGTGATTCTACAAATGTAAATGTGCCCCCAAGGTGTGTGTAAGCCAAGTCGGATGGAAGCGTTTCTTCTGCCACGAATTTAACAGATTCTGGTTATCATGTTTGTCCCTGGGTACAAAGTAATATTCAGAAGAAAACATACCTACATGTTAGAAAGATCGGAGAGGAAAGGGAAGCCAAAGTGGGTAGAAGAAACTCTGTGGAAGCACCCCAATACTAGTTTCTTCGGGTGACTGTGATGAGAAATATTCAAGTTCTGGTCAAGAAAATCCTGATCATCAAACCTTTAAGTTTATAGAACCTTCCACAATATACTCCAAAAAAGACCCCATGGTTTTGGTGAGAGGAGAGTTGGCATCCTCCGTCCCCAAGCCCTGGCCGCCCAGGGCGGCAGAACTCCTCAGAGAACAGAGCCAGAGGAAGCAGATCAGGAGGCGTGCCAGCGGCAGCGTAATAACTCAACCACAGGGGTCAGGCGTTCTCCTGTGGAGAGCCAGAGTAAATATTCTGGGACTTGCAGATCAGGAGGCAAAATTGAGGCTATCGTGTAGGTATTTATTAAAAATGTTCACGACTTTTTATCAAAATTTAAAACTTTACACACTGATGCTGGAATTTGAATTTCATTACTTTTCATATCTTCCAAATATTATCATGATTTCTATTTTTTCAACCATTTAGAAATGTAAAATCCAGTCTTAGCTTGCTGCACAAAATCAGGACACGGGTGGGATTTGGCTTGAGGGCAGTAGTTTGCAGACCGCCTACTCTATAGACCACCCCCCTACCCCCACACAAGAGGATGTGGGGCTAAAACGAGCTATCAAGCCGGCATATCTGGGGGTGGTTTTCCCTCGAAGTTTCTTGAAAACACCATACATATAAAGCTGCACTGAAACATCCCCAATTCCCTCTGCTTATAACGAAATCAGATTATTTACTTCATCCAATAGCTTATGTTCACATTCTGAATTTAATTTCAATATCATCTCAGCCAGCGGTAGCTGTTGCATTGGTTGTGTAAATGCAGAGACCGGAGCCAAACGGGAAACACACATTAATCAATTTCCATGACCGTGACGAGCACGGGCATTGGGAAAGCAACTGATGTGAGGTGTCTGCTCTAGAAACGCCAGCGACCACCAGCCGCCACGTGTAATGCTCTCCTGTTCTTATCTTGTAGGCTTTCATATCGGACTGGGCAAGACACAGCTAATTGTGACACATGCAGGAACAGTGCATGTATTATCTATAGGTATGTTCACATTCTCCTCTTCCCACTGTTTCATTATGAGTGACAAATGATGTTTACCCACCAATGAAGACTCGCCGGGGGGCCATGCTGGGATGACTGTATCAGACAGAATGTAGAGGGCGTTATTTGGCCACAGTTCGAAGCTCCTAAATACTCGACCCCAGGCGTACGATCACGGGAGAGGCAGAGCATGAACTCATTGATCTGGCGAGTGTATCTTAGTGGTTTCAAAAATTGGTGTGAGTTTGATGGCATGCTCCCTGAGAACCGACAGCCCTGAGTACTATACTATACAGTGTGTGCCAGAAAAGCTGTGAAGTACAAGCCTGGTGGATGGTATAGATCAAAGGCGAGGGGACCCCTGTGGATGTGCTCCGAATACCACGGAAGAAGCCAGGCTGCTCACGCCAAGGTGCCGTTCACTCCCTGGAGTCTCACAAGGACTGTGGGTCCCCTGGGGCACACTCCCCTGTCTAGAGCCCCTACAGCTGGGCTTCGTGGGTTTTAAGTTAAAGTTAATTTAGATGCCTCACATCAATAGTATCACAGCAGAAGCTTTCACCAGGCAAAGCCAGGTTAGTTTTTTGGCAATAATTTAGGATTTTGAGACACAGTCACTACCTTCAGAGGCCACTGTCTTTGTTTGTTTGTTTGTTTGTTTGTTTGTTTGTTTGTTTGTTTGTTTTTGTTTGTTCTGGAAATATAATTTTCCCAAACAAAATATGAGAGCAATAAGGGATGTCATAATTTAGTTCATTTTTAAAAATTAAGGCTAAAGAACAATTTTAGTTGATTTGCCAAATTATCAAAAACAATTCTAACTACATGGTTATATACCTAAAATTGTGTAAAGGAACCCACCCCTCTCCCCAAATATATCTTCTAAAAAGAGCTTCAAAGTTACTATCTTCTCAGTAAGAAAGTCGACATGGGGGAGGGTACAGATGTCTTAAATAGAGCAAAAAGCTTGAATCCACACAGTATTGGACCCATCACACATCTCTAATCAAGAAAGAACATCCAAGGTAGGACCCCAGTTTCTTTAAAAGCAGAGTTGGGTTACCTGGTGACCTTGTCTGGAAGCAGGTAGAAAAAAAAAACCCCACAGGGCAGATGTGAGCACCAGATGTCACACTAGCACATTCCTTACTGCAGAAGCTCCCAGCAGAGGCTGGCTTTGCGTCATGGAGGACATCTGGCAAGGTCTGGAGGGAGGCGTTTCAGCTGTCACAACTGGGGAGGTGCCATTGGCATCTAGTGGGTCGGGGCTAGGAACACTGCTAACATCCTAGAACCCACTGAGTCACGTGGTCCAAAATGAATAGAGCCACGGCTGAGAAAGCCTGCCTTGCTGGACTCATCTCCAGGCTAAGGTCTAATAAGAGTCACAGGAAAAGCTAAGGGCTCCTGGCAGCCCCGGCCCCGCACACCAGGCCCGCGGATGGTTCTCTCCTGCTAACAAAGAGGCGGCGACAAGCCAGCACCCAGACAAAGGTTGTGTGTCAAGAACTCCTCCCAAATGCCCGTTGTCCTCAGATATAGCAACTTACCAGAGAGCTCTGGTTAGTGGGGCTTTTTTCACTATAATTTGGTTTGTGGAAGCAAATTTTGAATCGCCAGTGAAGGGCTGTAACTCTGACATAAAGCCACCTTCACTAACATCAGGCCACTGGGGAAGGATGGGAAGATCACAGAGCGCCGGCCACGCATCCTCCCGGTGCAGCCTTTGGAGCCCTGGGGCTAAAGTTCACCCAGCCTTCCAAAGCAGCCGAGCAGAAGCGAGCAAAGGTTTCCAGGAAGGGTTCAGAGCGAGCCTGAGGAGCATAAACCCATTTAACATGTTGTGGGTGATTGAGAAAAAAACTCATTAGGACACTCTCCAATGTAACTGAGGTAATTTAAATAAATTTGGCTTTAGATCCAGAAGTAACTCACATTAGAAGTGATATTAAAAGTGATTTAACAAGCCTGAGGAAGACCGGAACTGGTCTTTTTCAGGAATTACCTCGAGCGGTTACTACTCAGAATTGGCTCCACCCGCCTTCTGCGTGAATCCCATACGCCAGCCACTGGCCCGCTTTTCTAAAGCACTGAGTGTCCCGCAGCACAGGGACGTGCCAGAACTTAGCAGAGATACACCAGGTGGAGGGATCGAGCCACTGTGGTGGCGTCGATCGTCACGGTACGTTATCTTTAGGAACTGAGCAGAGACGAGGCGCTCTGCAGCCACGAGACCCGACCATCAGGCCTCGAAAGGAGCCAGGCGTCCTAGCAGAGGCGGTGCTAGACCAAAAGTGGCATTTTGCGACTCCCTTTTACAAAAGTCTTGTAAAATCTCTCCCGCCAGAGTGATAGTAACAACAGCAACAGCTCCCCAGCCCCCACACTCCCGTGGAACCAGAAGTGACCTAACAGGGACGTTTCAGCTGGACCCTCCCCACCTGGCAAAGTCAGTCATCCTACTACCAACTTAGACAACGAGCTCGAAATTATTATACTACCAGTCAGACATATACAGCTCCTCAAACTCCGTTTCCCAAGTTTCCTATCACTGTATGTTGGAAATCATTAAACATTAAGTTACTAACTCAGCAATGTTGTATGTCAATACAAAAAGTATTACTCTTCAATTGGTTACTGACATTGGCAGGAGTTGTCTGAGCTCTATAGAAGGTGAGTGAAAGCTCGCTTCTGGGCAACTAACTGAAAAACCAGCCACAGGGAAATCAGACACTGAAACGTGCTAGTTTAGTTTGACTCATCTAAACAGAGATCTCACCATGTCCCGGATTTCAAGTTACGCCAGTCTTCTGAGGTGAGGCCCAGATGTGTTGTGTAAATGTGGGGGCGTCCCCTGGAGTTCCGAGTTAACGTCCATGAACCACCCATTTTCCTTTTACCTGGAACGGGGACTTACCTGCTCACTTGCCCCTGTGGTCTTCACACTCAGTCATTTGTCACCTCTACTCTTCCCCAGGCGTCTAAGCAGAGACGCCTCTCGCGCCTCAGTTACATTGAGTTGGCTTATGTCGCATTCAAATAAGTCCCGTCACTTCAACGATGAATACAAATGGCATAAAGAGACCCAAACACCATATCCTGTTAGTGAGCATGCAGCTGGCGAGTAAGAAGGGAGGCACGTGGGTCAGAGGAGAGGACCCTGTTCACCAGAGCCTTGGGTGGCCCTCAGTCCTGTCACGGGGCCGGGGGCCGGTGCTTAACCTAGCACCACTGTCAAGGAGACCGTTATAATCCTGTGCAAAGACCAGGCTGATGTTAAGGGGATCAAGAGAAATGCACATCTACACGAGTGTCCTCAGGGCTGGCAACTGTTAATAGGCAACTTCCCTTAGGGTTCCCTTTGGCCAAACAGGGGGACAAGTGGGAATTCAGCCAGATGGTTTCTGAGCTTTCTGTCAGCCCTGTGACTCAATCTTCAAATGCCAAATGCTTCGTGAAGAATAGGTTTCTTTGGTAGAAAAGCATTGAGAGCTTAACAGTCCCTGTACAGAAGTCGCCTGTTGGGGTGACCCTGCAGCAGGGCACGGAGGCAGCCACAGCGTCTCCGAAGGACAGGCCCAGTGAGTCAGAGAGAGCGTCCACATTTCAAAGGCTTTACGCCTTGTCCGTTTCTTCCTATCAAGGAAATCTGCACATAAGCCCTCCTTCAATTCCTACCCATAGCTCTGTATAGAAATGACTCCATTAGAAAGGGTGAGCTGGCTCAAGGTCAGGGTCCTCGCAGTCAGTTCCCAGCCTGGCTCCCACACCCAGGTTCTTGGGCACCAGGCCTGCATCCAAGGCTTCCTGTGAGTCCTGGCACCACCGTCTCGGCCACTTGTCTTGGTCTTCCCTATGGGACGACTGGGGCACCTCAGGGCTGATTAGGTTAAAGGAGTTTCAAAATGAAGAACTTTTAAAATGCTAAAGGACTGTGGTTGTCCCAGACACTAAGGGAGAGCATAAGGGGCCATCGGAGCTGTCACTTCCACATGCTGTCACAGCTGGATGCTGGCCATTGCCCAGAGAGCCCTGGAGGTCAGTACCTTTGACCCCACCCATCTTGCACGTATACACTGCTTTGCACTCAAATCCCAATGACGCTCTCCGAGTGGCATAAGAATCCACCACATTTCCAATAACACTTGGGCCAGGGAGATGCAAAGGGCATCAAGTTCAAGATCCAGCTGCCCGGGGTTTTACCAACACAGTCCTGTAATAAATGTGTACCTCTCTGGCTGAGTGGTAAGAAATAAGTCCCCCATGGGAAGACGCAGAGAGCTTGGAAAAACATCAACAGACAAAAGGTCTTGAAGCAATTTCAGGGGGGAAGGGCTGCCAGGACCACACGCAAAGCACCTGCCTGCCAGAGCCTGCCGCTCAGACGCCGGGCGCCCCAAGGTTAGGGCTGAGCCTCCATCCCTGTTTGGGGGGCGTCAGGCATGCAGGGTGACACTAAGGGAGCAGGTAGGTCCCTTCCCACTCTGAAATCTCATGAACGGGTGATTTACAATTATGAAAGGGATGGGTCTGCGAGCATCACCAGAAAGGAAACATGGCGCTAAAGGTGTGGACAGAGAAAGGTGCTTCTCAAAGGAAGTGCATCCTTCCCTGTTACGCAACTCGATTTGCACAGAGTCAAACAGACGTTCTCAGGCAGGGAATGGACTGCCTCTCACTCAGGGTCACCAAAACCCCGAGCATCACAGGTGATACTTCCTGGAGCCGGGAACTTTGAGGTGGTTGACATATAATTACATATAATTACATGTTTGGACCCCTTTGATTGGGATCCAGGCCACCTGTGACATTCTCATTCAAGACCATCTCAGCATGAAGAAAGATTAAAAGAGAGACGTTACAGTTTTCCTTAGCAAACCTTTTCTGGATTATCATCCATATTTCCTGTCAAAATATGCTACAATTATTTCAGAAAATGTTTTAAGGATAAATTACTAATATACTCTTTGCTCATAAGCCGTTGAAATCTTCTGTACCCA